TATGTGGAATTCGAAGAAAATTCAAGCTAGGAGGCAATGGGCTTCTTTATACTTGGATAAGAGATGGTTTCATTGTGGACGAAGAAGTCTCTAATAAAGTGTGCTACTCTCTCCTTTCATGGTAATATTTGGTACACCAAATAAAGCAGGGCCTTCCTGTTCGCACCCTCAGCATGAATGTTTCCCAACGAATAATGAATGAATGGCATTTGAGTGACTGTATCGTATCTGCAATTACAGACAGAAACATTGTTGTTGCGGATTAGTTCATAAGAAAGCTCCCAGCAAAATGTACCACAGACATGGTCTCCTCAGAGTTCCTTCTGGAGACGTGTGCACCCATTAGCTCTTAACGTGTATCCGTTCAGAAAATTAGTACCTGGTCCCTTCTCATCTGAAAAGTTCCATTTCCCTGGTAATACGGTGGATCCTTTAGAGAAGGGTCTGCTCGGTCATGAACTCCCAACTGTCCACATTCTGTTTTTATCATTTGCGTCTCCATGTTGCTTCTGCCTCCTCTGGCCTGCCTGCCTTTTGGCCTTTTCCCCACCTCATTAGTAACTTTACCAAAACAAGGGTCTGGTCCAGGGAAAGAATGTGAACTTTAAGTCAATTAATTGGGATATTATTTATAGCTCTGGGAAAAACATTTGTTGGGAAAGAAAACAACATTGTTGGTTTAAATGAGAATTTTTTTTTAATCTTCTTTTGTGTTTATTTTTTATACTCTTCCTAACCACCTATGTCTACAGATAATTGAGAACTGACAAAAAAGGGAGGTAGTTAGTAAAACTGGCGGGAACCAGGAAGGGGAGAAACAGTGTATTGACACAACATAGAGATGACAGATTGGAGAGCTGTTCTGCTCAGTGATATAAATAAAGTGCAAAAGCATTATCATTTGGATATGTACTCATACATATGAATGAATATATATGTGAATGAACAGATAGATACATGAATGAACATATAGATACATGTATATTCACTCCAGGCCCCTATGACTTCGCCATAATGGATGATAAAGGCCATAGCTGACATCCGTGTTTATGGACAAACTAGCTCCTGTCACAGGGTGGACAAGCGACTAAGAGCTGAGGAAGGCCTGGCTTTTAGTCATTTTGCTGTGACTTATTTATTGAGTTCCATTGTTGGCAGCATCGTGCCTAATTTTCCTCCTTCTTTGATGTTTGCTGACTCGTTCACTTTTCCTGTCTCAGTGACAAGCTGACACCCCTCCGTGGCAGATCCTCAGCACCCACCATCGCCGCCCCTGAAAGGGGCAGTGGCTATTTGTTAATTAAAATCCCGTGAGTGTTTTCCCTTAAAGTGCCGTGGAAAGGAAAAGTCTTTGTCAAGCCCTCAAGAATTGGTTTCATTTGTTTTGTTTTGTGTGGCTTTAACCTTCTGACCTGTAATTTGGCAGCCAGTACCTTTCCCCTAATGGGAAATTTGTCACTATATTAATGATGTGTCGTACATCATCACCAGTCCATCTCAGATGAACAAGAGCTGTGGTTATAGAAAATCTGGGAAGTTTCAGTACCCCTCCCCTAACCCCAATCTTCAGTGGTCCTCGGGTACAGCATCTAATCATTTGGGAGATGGGACTAGAAGGTGAATTTTGCCTTGATGTAGGTAACTGTTGTGTTTGAATTGTACACACACACATACACACACACACACACACACACACACACACACACACACAGACACACACACACACGGAAAAGTCACAAAATGCAAGAAAACCCCATAGAGGTCAAGTGTTCGTCTCACAGATTAGTTCCTCCAGACTGATCTTGGTAGGAAGTCTGTTAAGATGCTGCTGTTGTCCTGCTTGAAAGTCTCACTGTCCCATTCAGAAGGATGAGTAAGAGCGAGCTACTCAAATCCTTTATTCCCCACAGTTCCTCACACACTCCTGCTCTGACGTGGCCTACCGTGTTCTCTTCCCTGTAGCTTCCCTTTGCGTGTTCCATTCCCTCCTCTTCCATGTCTAGCCTCCTGGTCATATCTATGTCTCCTTTTCTCCACAAAGCCTGACCTCCCCAAGTGGAGCTAATCACCTCGTCTGTGGCACTGCCGCAGGACTTCATTACACGCCATGATACTTCCTCATGATAATTGCCACATTGTGCTATCATTATCTATTTATGTCACCATTGCCCCCATTGGACTGTGAATGTCCCTGAGGGTTGGATCTGGATCGTAATCCTCCCCAGAGATAGGGACATGGCCCTACTGGAGAAAAAGTAAAGTTCAAAATGCATGTACAGGTCAGAAAGTCAGAAAGCAGTTACTAGAGAGATCCTATAAGGCAGCCAAGGACCTAAGTTTGATGTCTAGTTACTGTTTTCCATTCCACGATGAAGAGGAGGTTGGCATTTTTCTAGCATGGACTTGCAAGAACCTGAACATCTTTATAACAAATGAAACAATCCATAGGCTGTGATAATACTGACTATCCACAGTCCCATAACCCCTGAGGTCAGGAGGTCAACAGAGAGCACCAGTGTAGCCTGGAAAATGAGAGTTATGGGATATCCTTGGACCCAATGTCCTTTGGGATATAGGTAAATATTGCCTTTTTAGGCAACCCTTTAAATTCAAGAATCTATGTTGATTGGGTGGTTATTCTAACAGTACTTAAAACTGCAGATGATCTCAGCATTTGTGCAATGCAGGGGTAAAAGAAATTAAATGTAGATCCTCTCAAAACAAGTCATTAGTAAGTTCTTAGCCTGGTGGACCTAGTTGTTTTAACAATAATAATATCATTATACAAATTACCTGTTTATCAGATTATGAGATTCAACACCACAAAGCTATGATCCGAGCATCACTTCTAGATGGCTAGTTTGTTATATGTGCTCTTAATAGACACTACAGTAAAGACTAAGTTACATGTATGTGCTTGGATATAATACTTTGATTCTTGACGTCTAGGCGTAGATCTAAATCATAGCTTTTAGGTTCTCTCAATTGGAAAACCTGTTTTAGTATATTTTTCTTTGTCATTGTTGTCACTTTCCTAAACTCTTCTATTAAAAGAGAAGGTGGGAGGCAGGGCTTGATGTGTAAGAAATTACAGTCTTAACTGCCTGACGTGTGTACGTTCTCCAGACTGTCCTCTGACTCCCAAAGCTACCATCCATGCACTGAGTCATTAGAATTTCCTTGCTTTCCCTTAAAATCATGTCATCTGTTAGGGCTTACTTCCTTGTTATCCAGAAGGGAAGACATAGATGTCCAGCTGTTGAGAATCAGTAGGTTGATGGCACTCCATGGTCCCCTGGGGGAAGAGACCCTCTATTGTTTCTTTTAAGGAAGAGGGAATTTCACGGAGACCTAGAAAATTCCCAAGGTTTCATGGCCTGCAGCCCACAAAGGCTTGTTTTCCCAGAATGACCCTGAAAGCTTAATCCACATCTAAATGTCAGATGTGTATTCTTAAAACTCAAGCTGTGTTTGATTTAAGCCTAGAAGGTAATAATTTTATCTTTTAGTTCCTGTAGCTGTTGGTGAGAATCTCTTTGGAAGGGGTGTGTGTGTGTGCATATTAGTATTAATTTGTTCAAGAGCCACACACAGTAAAACTTTCTTCCTCCTTGCCTTGTCCTTTGCTCAGTCTAAGAAGATGGATGTGAGGTAAGATAACACAAACTTTGTAGGCTTCTTCCCTGTAACGTTTTAGCTAGATTTTGTTCATTTTATTTTGGATCATAAAATCCTTGGACAAAACGTTTAAGATTTCAAGTGGAGTCATGTTTTAAAGTTAGTTTTCAAAGTCACTATGTGGTATAAAATCTGTGTATATTCAGAACTAGCCTGGAAAGACACTACAGGCTATATTGATTCCTCCTTCTGACCTCTCAGCAAACCCACCCAATGTTGTTTCCTTTAGCTCTGCATTAGATGGCTCTCCCCTGCCTGAGCAGCAGCTGAAGCCATTGACTTGCATATGCAGGACCATGTTGGACCCATAATGCCAGTGTGAACACTGGAATCCCGTACAGGACACCATAAAACACAAGTAATAAAAGGTTGCAAGAAACTAACATGAACTGAAGGAAACTAAGTAAGCTTATATCCGGGGAAATTTCAGTGGATGGAGGTTTTTTGATGGAATTCTATAGCTGTTAAAATTGCCCAAGCTTCTGTTTTCATCTAAGCTCTGATAAATTAAATGTGTCAATTAGACGCAGTTCTGACTCAAGGTCATGTGAGAATAGCAGTGTCTACATGGGTTGCAAGACAAGGCATGGTTCATGTATCATCGTAAACAGAAGACACATATTCTTGTTTGGCAAACACATAGAGATGAAAAGATAATCTTGCCACCATTCTTTGTGAATTTTTCTTTTTTTTTTTTCTTTTTTTTTTTTGATTTTTTTGAGACAGGGTTTCTCTGTGTAGCTTTGCGCCTTTCCTGGAACTTACTTGGTAGCCCAGGCGGCCTCGAACTCACAGAGATCCACCTGGCTCTGCCTCCCAAGTGCTGGGATTAAAGGCATGCGCCACCACCGCCCGGCGTGAATTTTTCAACTAGATCTTAAAATAGCTTTTTTTAAGAAGTAAACATTACTTCTTAAAAACTTAATAAGTTTTTCTATGATCCCCATGTACTTCATATGTTTTATAAAATAGATCATTTATATATATATATATATATATATATATATATATATATATATATATACATAAATGCATATACATATATATCTTAGAAAGGTCTAGTATATATGTTAATTGCTTAAGATTACAAATACTCTACTATGTATATTAGAGGAAATGGGCCTTATTAGTATTCAACTATGAGTAATTCAATGGCCATTTTATGATTAAGACAAAATGGCCTTAGAAATTTGACTACAGCCAGCAGGTCATTGTATAGTAGGATAATAATATGATTACCTGACACAGGCTTGTAAAGGTGAGTGGATCTGTGGAAACAACTCATGTGTTATTGTTGAATGGTGAACCACACTGCTGGTACCACTCTGAGGAGTTTCAATTTCTTCTGGAAGAAGAGACAGAGAGAAGCAGGGTGTTCTGACCTTAGAGAACAGCCCCGCATTGTCTCAGGTGATAAAGAGCAAGAGAGAATCTGTACCTTTTATCTGAAGATAGGACATCGATCTGGTGGCAAACTCCAGTCACAACACTCCAAAGCAGGAGAAAGTTGCCTTTCATGAATCAATACAATTACATTCAAGGTAAATAGTAGCTGTGTTCATGGTGGGAGTGGGAGTGCTCACCATTATGCAATCAAAAGTGTCAAGGGAAGGGGCCTTTCATTTCTTTATGCTCCACCACTATGGCTTGATCCACTGAGGTCAAAATCCAGTCCAGGGTTCCAATTTCCAAGACAAATTTTCAAGCTGTAGAAGTCAGAGGGTCAGTTCATCTAGGACGGATGGAAGTACCAAGACATGGATCTCAAGGGAAGCAGATGCTGAGGGCAGGAAGCCTGTGGAGAAAGATGAAAGGACAGGCTGGCAGTGCCATGGCAAAGTCAGGAGCCCGGTAGCCAAGGCACCTTGTCACATTATTGCATCTGGGCCAAATGCCACCAGCACAAGCACAGCTGGGGGAAGGACCAGGATCCAGCCTGAGCTAATATATCATCATGTTTTGTGTCGATTTTTTTCACTTCCTATGACCCTCACTTGAACAGCAATTCCTCTGAAGCAGGTTTTGAAGACCCCCCCCCACTGCATCCACATAAACAATAGGCTAGCACAGCCTTAGAAATGTATACTGATGCATACTTTTCAAAGGTGTATATTAGTGGAGAACCTATGTTACTTTCCCATTCTTCTGCCACCTCTCTGTTATGTGATATGATATCTTAAGGAGCCTAAACTGTCTCCTGACTTCCTATGAGTATGCTACCTAAGATAGCTGAAGGAAGCAGTCCATGAAGAAAAAGGGGATTCCACCCGTAAAAGTTGACTTGGTCTGTTACTAATATTGTTTGCCTTTTCTCTAAACTTGTCAGTTTTGTGGCTTAAATGCAGTTATACTAAACAAGTGGTTCTTCATTGCAGAATTGTTTTCATCACACAGCTAACTTGATTCTGGTAGAAATCAAATTTCCATACAACCGAGGTAACCCCTTATTGTTTTAGGGGCAGACTATTGGCAAAATGCAGGGTATCGTTTTCACCAAAGCTATTAGGAGCAGAGCCTGGACCTGGCAGCTTTAACAAGCTAGGCTCAGCCAAATATCCTCAATTGGCCAATTAATTAGACAAATACTACTAAAAAGCCAAAAGAAGAAGAAGAAGAGGAGGAGGAGGAGGAGGAGGAAGAGGAAGAAGAAGAAAGGGAGAAGAAGATTTATTCAATATAGCCAATTGGGAAATGGAACAAAGAAGTACAGTCCTTCTCCAGTCTATCTTGAAAGCCCTGAGCGTGAGGTTCAGGTTTAAACAGAAGGCAAGGAGTAGGCATCAGTAAGAAGACTTGGTCAAGGTGTGGTTCCACCCATCAGCATTGTCTTGAATCCAGTCTCTCCTGCAAGGTGGTCTGACAAGTTGTCAGATAAATGTGAAATCTCTTTCCAAGACAAGGTTCCCCCCCCCAATCCCCCCTCCCCCGCCCTGACTGACACTGGGGCTCTTGCTTTTTATCATTCTATCAGCATCACACTTCTGGGAAATTTTCAGCTTCTCAGGGCCCATTGTTTCTATAATTTGATAGCCAAAGGGAAGGACACAAACATCTCCTTAGCATATCTTTACTCCTGTGAGGTAGTTAGATCATCATAGATAATGAAAGAGAATTTGAAAAGAAATCAGAAGCAAGAATCCCAAAATGCTATCCATGGATAGTCAGTTAGGGTCCCAAAATGTCGCTGGATACAAAAATCAAAATATCTAATGCCAATGCAAGAATAGGTACTCTCTTAGAGAGATTGGAATTACATAATTACATTATTCAGTAAATGTGGAACCCATTTCTTCCTACTGGGTTGCCTCTCCACCCTTGATGTGACGGTATGTGCCTGGTCTTATTGTAGCTATCATGTGGTGTTTGATTGAGGTACCATGGAGGCCTGCTCTTGTTTGAGGGAAGGTGGAGATGGGTGGGTCTGGGGAAGAGGTGAGATAGAGGGACAGAGACTGTGGGTGTGGAGGAAGAGGAAAGTGCCATTGGGATGTAATATATAAGAGAGAAAAAAGAATAAGATCCTCAATACATTTATAAGAATTTCTCTCTCTCTCTCTCTCTCTCTCTCTCTCTCTCTCTCTCTCTCTCTCTCTCTCTCTCTTGGTTTTTCGAGACAGGGTTTCTCTGTGTAGCTTTGCGCCTTTCCTGGAACTCACTTTGTAGCCCAGGCTGGCCTCGAACTCACAGAGATCCGCCTGCCTCTGCCTCCCGAGTACTCAAAATGTTTATTGGGCAGGAATTGTTTTACCAACAGAACGTAGTGATCATGCCCATGATAATTTGCCTTCAGCTGGATTGTTTTTTTTTTTTTAAGAATCTATTGTGGAATTTCTAGTATGACTAGCAAAATGAAATTCTACATAGACAGAATTTTGCCTGCTACAGCACTGGCTGCTTCTCCACCCTGGTCTTCATCCACAGTCTTTGTCTTCCACATGGGATCTTAGTCATATGTTGATTTTCTTCTGCACCCCATTCAGTTTTATGTCAGTTTCCCACATAAGCCTGTTAGTGATATAATATTAATTGCCCAGAAATGTCAGTCTGCAATTGCTCCAACATCGTTCTTTTAATGAATACAGACTTCATTGCTTGTATTCCTATTACTTTAGCTACTTCTATTTCTATTTTTATAGCAAAGATCTGTGCAAATAAAAGACTATCAAAAGGTATGCCTATAAATGTACTGTGCTAAATTCCCTCTGTGTTGAAATGCCTGTGAACTGTTGTTCCCAAATGCCTGCTGCATTTTAATGCCTTTCTCCCAAGGCAACATGATATAGAAGAAAAAGCTAGAGTTTTACAGGCACACAAGTCCTGGCCCACCACTCTCCACTCATGTTTCTTTACTTCTCTGAGCCTTGATGTACGAGTCTGGGAAATGCCAACAACAACATCGTCCTCACAGATTTGACTGGAATTGCATGACAGGGACACAGATACTACGTCTGGGACATCACAGATGCTCTGTAAAGCTAGTTTACTTTTTCCAGACCACAGCAGCCAGGAGAGAAGACTGTACCATGCTCAGACCGGTACTTACTTCTAAGAAGTACTCCTATTGAAGGAATTATGAGCAAGGAAGAGTAAGTTTAGATTCCAAAAAAAGTATATAGTGCCTTGGTATAAAGGTTTTCACATAGGGTGAATATTTATGACTACAGATAACTGCAAAGAAAATGAAATCCATTACCAAATTAAGCTCTGTCCAGCTCAGCAGTGCTATAAGAAGGGCCTGTTTAAAGTTACTGCCTTTAAAGACATAGGCTATGTGACTGACAAGAAATCCTCAATGACATAAATGTCTTGGTATATGGCTTGAGTTAATTCAACATTCTAAGACCATTGCTGGTCACCTACATATAGATACAGCTATTTTTGTAAGAATGGCCAGACTCAGCTGGGTGTGGTCATGCACAGCTATAGTCCTTGCCTTGGTTCAGTAACAAACAGACAGAGGATCCAAACTCCACTCTGCCCAGTAAACAACAAATACAGAAAGCCTAACCCTCCAAGTAGTGATGTAGGTGTAAAGTGTTTAATCCTCTAAGAAGTTGGAGTTACATCAGAACTTGATGTGGCTTCTGAATATGTCAGGTAGAAGATTTCCCAGAATTCCTGTTACTACGTTCCATAAAAGCAAGAAGATGGACCGTATGGTACCTAGGGACCTTCAGGAGTCAAGTCCTGTGTGCTAGCCTTAAGTCTATGATGGTTTGGTGTTTGCTAGAGACTCAAGTCTCTTCAACATAAACAAGATAAAAGAATTCAATCATAAGTAGCTCCAGTCAACAGGAATGTTTGGAGTCAGCCCAACTTTCTTAACCATCTATTAGGTGATAGCCTCATCTTCTTCATTTTGATGAGCAGAATAATAAGCCTTATCTTTTAATATTCTTTTCAGATTTTGAGGTATTTTGCAAAGCTATTATGTTAGAATTATACATAAAGTCTATTCAAGTGTCCATTCCTATACCTTGGTAGTGGTTTTCTGAAGTTCTGGTTTGAAAAGGATTCTGAGACTATCTAGGGTCTTTCAAAAAGAGAGTAATTGATTAGTGATGTGCAATCTGGCAGGTGGTAGAAATAAAAGTTTGAATCAGTATATTTATGATACACTATTATTATAATGGTTGATACCATAGCTACAAAATGTATAAATATAGCATCAAATTTTTAAATTTGAACAACTTCACAAAATAGAATCAATTGATTGCTATGCTTATGACATAATAATATGTAACATTTTATTAGTTTAGTGATAAACATATGTGTTATCTACTGAGAAACACTGAAAACTGAAATCAGGATATGTGATTCCTGACTTTAACATATGAAACACTTGGAAAATGACACTGTTGTTACTAAGGGCAGAAAGAGGTTTAGGAATGGGAAAAATAAGACCAAGATTGAAAGATAGTTCCAGCGTGTGACAAAAGACTTTCATTCTATTCCAAATACTGTCTTAGAATATTCACACTTGGGAGAAGACACAGCACGTTTTGCATGGAGATACTCCATGACTTTCTCCTGTTTTTCACTGGGGCCAGATTTCTTTTCCAGGTAAACAGTCATGCTCCTGTCGCCATCAGGGACTCCTTTGAATCCTGAGCAGCTGCTTTTATATTCTTGCCCTACTGTCTTATTTGAGAATGGCAAGCTGATCAAACCCATATTTTTAAATTTATGTATTTATAGGCATATGGAAGAACAGTTTATAGTCTGAATATGATTTTTTCCCACCACAAATGGAAGAATATTGTGATGTTTGGTCCTTTTATAAAAACAGTACCTTTCTTTCCTTTTTCTGTTTTCCTTTATTACTGATGACTTCATTCTACATGAATTCAATGCTTCAGTTTCTTTGGGGTAAACTAATAGATTATGTATGCAATGTTTGCACCACGGTGATTGAACTCATCTGGTGAGTTTGAATGCTGCTCTCGCATCTCTGTAACCAGCACAAGCCTATGCATGGGATCCAGCCTCTGCAGTCTTATATTCCTAAGCAGCCCAGGCAGCTTTCAGAGTAGAGCATGCGACTCTAACCACATGGGCTCCAGGAAAGCTTAGCAGTCCCTTATTGTCTTGGGGGGGTATCTTTTTTAATTAAAAAAAAGGAAGGAGAATTAGAACTATTTTCAGAATTTTTAAATACATCCTGAAGGAAAATAAAGGTCTGTGACCTGCTCCCTGAGTGCTTAACTTGTTTTTTTTTTCTTTTTGAGATTTATTCTTATTATTTTCAATTGCATGTATGCATGTGTGTCTGTATGGGGTTTGTGCATTGTGAGT